AAACGTCTACCAACAAACTCTGTAGACGATTTGTTTTACATTTTAACGTCAAGCACACCAAATTTGGAGGAAATCGGAAGTAAGGCAATATTATTTCAAGCCGGCGGAAGTCATAGGTATAATTACACCTATGAAATGCAGGGGCTGCAGGAGTAAGGTTTTAATCATTATTATCATTATTGTACATTATTAAATGGCTGTCTCACAAGGACTAGGAACTACCGAATTCACGAATTTGATTGGCTGAAATCAATACTGAAAGCGGTCTAGATTTTCCCATCTAGACCGGCATCTAGACCGGTCTAGAAAAAAAAGTTACAAAGAATATAAAAAATTGGCATAAAAGACAGTCATATAACAGACATCTTATTAACCGAGCTAGGTTGGTCTGTATGGGAGAATCTTGACCTCGGTTGCTGGTACAGACCTCACTGCGCTCGGTCCGTACAGGCGACCTCGGTCAAGATTCTCCCATACAGACCTCCCGCTCGGTTAATAAGAACTAATTATTGCATTCTTTAAGTTTTCCGCGCCCCACTACTTCGTCAAATAACTAATGACTTGGGGTGCAGGAGAAAGATGGCTTTTTTTCCTCCTATGCACCGCCATGCCTCACCCGAACACCTCTAGTTACTTTAGACCAAGAGACACTGCACCTATCCACGTCGCTTTTTCATGATATTTTAGAGGGATTAGCTTCGATCATTTGATACCCCCTTGTACGGTTTCCCAGTATATTTTTAAGGCATGCCAGAACAATTGACTAGGAATAATTTTAATGTATCATATGTGGCTTTTGGTAAACGTTTATCAAAGATAGTCGTCAGTTTTCATTCTGTCTATGTAACATTTCAATCGAAATGTTATTGAAATGTCTTTGCAACATTTCAATGATCCACACTTGTCTAATCTTATCCTAGCATTTTATTCGAAGTCACTGTAATCTTTATTTAGAGAGCTTTTTAAAGTCGTTCTGTAAATACGAAATTACGGAGATACGAAATTAATCGTCTGGCTGCGGCGTACAGAAAATGTCTATCTTTCATATTTAAACGACTTAAATGATTGATGAACTTTGCTACGGTTTATCGAGCTATCAACTGCTCTATTGACTCGGACTGAATCCTCTAACTCAATTCGGGTAGGACTGCGGAGGGCTGATTCATTGGGTTACTCTTAAAAAATGTCAACGGCCTCCACCGCTCCACGAACAACCTAATTTCTGAATTAGCGAACAGTCCACTAACCGAGCAGAAAGACGAATTGAATCGGATCAATTGCGACTGAGGAATTATCGTCGCTTGAATATTGTGAAATAACAACCTCCTATCACCCGTTGCCTATCGAGTCCATTTACTTATATGTATTCCTATTTCAACTCGTATTTTAAAGAGTGCAATTTAATTGCCAACACTGCATCACCGTCACACAGATGGATCTTTGCATTCTTTTTGGCTGAGTTTTTTTTTGGTTCGGAGATGGGGAAACAACGTTCATTCACCCTCTCAAACGAGCTCTGATCTGACCAATTTGCTTCGAGATAATTTTTCCTTTAAGGCGCTCCATAATCTGTAAATAAAAAAATAAACATAACGTGACATGAGTCAGTTTCCCTCTTTAAAATCGTTATCCAATTGGGTAAAACTCATGATTTGCACTATTTATTGTTATAATTTTTGTTATGACGATGACTTTGATGATGATGATGATCATCATCATCATTATTGTTATTATCATTATTATTATTAATTTAAATTGTTGCTCTTACCTAACTATTTCGCACACAGTGCAGGGTGAAAATGGGCACATCCTTTAATAAAGGTGTAATTACGGAAAAAAGTCATGTATGAATATAGAGACGTATAGATATCTTTGCTGAACGGAGCTCTAATTAACTCAAATGATCTTAACATGTCAGACTGTCATGAAAAATATGAACCAGGCTTGTGAAGGAACAAAAAGAAATGGCGAAGTAGAGAAATTTTTCTTTTATGGATTGAGGAACCGAAAAAATGACTCATTAGCTAAACGCCTGAATGGCTATCAAATTGACCAAGTGACTGAATGATAGATTGATGGTTGGAGAGAACCATAGACTGACTAAATATTTGACAGTCTGATATCTTGATAGAAGGATTGATCAATGGATTTATTGATTTTTGTCTCTCGTTAAGTCTCTCATTTTTTAGATGCAAAGCCACCCGAATTTTATCGAGGAAATGCACAAAGAGTTGAGAATGGTGAAAATGTAGGTAAAAGTCTTGTGTAGTGGCGATAGAAGGCCAAACGACCAAGTGATACCCAAAAGGGGAATCATTACCACCCACGTTCTGATGCCAAGTCTAAAGGAAGACAAATGATAGTTATTTCTAGATGTCATGTAACTTTGGCTCTTAGAGGAAATCAAGCAAATAGATACCTTCTTAATCCTCGCACATGCATTCAAACGAATACCCAACTGTACAAGGGGGAGGGGGTGGAGGAGGTAATTGTGAAACTTACGTTGCGATATTTTGAAAATGTTTTAACTTAAACTGAAAATCTGTTATGTCAACTGCAAATGGCAAAACATGCATGGAGGGGATGGGGGAGGGTGACCTCATCTAACATGGTTGACTTTTGCGTTCGATTTTTCACTTTCTCCACTATT